CTTGATTCAAATCCATCAGGTTATTGCAAAAAAAAATAAGGTAGGATACTTTTCTCACAGGCCTCGTATATGTGTTGGACTTTTTACTTCTGTACATTGATGAGAAAAGACAAAAATGATTGAACCATTGTTTGGTAACAATGTTTGTGTGGATGGAGAATGCCTCAACACTCATAAGTACCCCTTATCAGTTCACACAGAAAATTTAAAAATCAGATCCCATGTATGACACAGTCACAGCATACACAAGAAAAATGTATGACCTGTATACTTGTCAGCTAGAGTGAATGGGTTAAGGAGACTTGTCATTATCTAGGTAGTATTTATCCTCAAAGATCAGGCACTTGTCATAACCTAGGAAGTGTTATGCAAGATAGATATACATGTTGTGATGTAGGTAGTAATTATTGTGACGTTTGAATCACTTATCATGAAATAGAAAATGGTTATCATTTGAGATAAATACTTGTCTTGAACTATATGTAATTCGTTACCATAGATAGAAAATCTTGTTATGACTTTTGTAACATATAATGTGAGAGTTAGATACTCGTCATAAACTAGGTATTATTGATTGTTAGTGTTAGAGACACCTAAGAACTAATTATTATTTGCTGTGAATTTTACAGACACTTGTTGTGAAGTTGATGGTGTTAGATGTTGATATTAGAGAGAGTGAGAGAGTAATTAAGAGCTATAAAATGTTTTGTCTTGTAAATACTAGATTTTGAACAATTAATGATTGTTGTGGATTAACATTAACTTCTGATCAAAGCAAACTACACATGTAGATCAGAAAAAAAAACCTAGTAATGATATGGCTAACTTAATATACAGTTGTTAATTATAATGATTACAATGCATTGATTCATCAGTTGGGTACCCTTACTGTTATATAATATTTCTTGGGGTTCATACATCTTAGGAGATTTAGGTTAGTCTTAAATTCATATAATAAATTAACTAAAAAATTATCTTAAAAATAAAAAATACATAGTGACAAATGTAAAAATAATGAAAGATTATATATATTAAACAATTTATCCAATATTTTTAAAGAAACTAAAGAAAGAATAGAATTTAAGTTTGCTTCAGGCATTATTACTGATTCTAGTTGCTGTGGAAAAGCATGACATTGGTATATGCAAAACTTTATACAATCCTTCCTAACAATGTCTAGTGACTTATGAAAGCCTATTAACCCAATGCAATGTTAACTGTATTTCCAAATTTGCCACATTTGTATAAAGCTACACTAAATATAGCAAGCTTTTAGTAAAATGAACAAGTCTGTTGCACACACACACACACAACAAAAAAAAGGTTTCCCAAAACTATTTCTACTAAAGATATGTCTGTGAATTTATTATGTTAGTGTGGCTCAGACTCTGACAAGTCAGAATGCAAGGTGATGTTCATGTGAATAATAAAAATACTTTTGTCCATCATACTATTTGCATATTGCATTTACATAACCTCTAGAATCTTAGAAGTGCTTGTCTACAGTTTTTTAACATAGTATTTGGTATTTTCTCTTCTCTACCATAATTTGTAATTAAAACAGCAGTGTAGGTTAAAATGAATAGTTGATAACTGGCATCAAATACATAATACGATGTTGAATGGTACTTTGTGAAAGATTGTGGTATGCATACTGTGACTCCCTACCAATGCATGTAGAGTTAACCCTAGAATACCACTGTTAAATTTTCAATCATTAATGACAAATGGTATGAGGCCATAATGACCACATGCTAACATTCTAGGATTAAATAGCTCTAACAGTGTTATACAACTTCATATGAACTAGAAGGTATTTATTTGGTTTAAATTTGTTAGTGTTTTCTTTGTATTTTGAAGTCTTGTAATGAATTATGTATCGGTTGTAACAGTTGTTAAAAAATCTTGTTAAAATCAAGGTGCTATTTTATTAAGAGATACTACTGTCACTCAAATGAAAACACCCCACATAGAGAAACATTCGTCTTATAGAATAGAATCTCATTCAACAAGTAATTTCTTCTCCTGGATACCCATTTTTTATAAGGGTTTATATTACTGATGGCTAAAGATATGTTAACTAAGAATTTCCCACAGATACTGTTTGGGTGAGAGATTGGAGGAATGAGCTCTCTGTGACATGTATATCTTGACCACCCAGAAATTGTCCTGATGTACAGGTAGTGTGAGATCTGACATTATCTTGCTAAAAGAAAGGATACTTTATTTGACATAGAAAAAAAAAAGATGTAAACAAGGACCATAGAATGTCATCTACATACTTTGTACATTAAATGTGCCTTTTACAATTACCAGAGGTGATCAGGAAGTATAGTTCAAGATTTTTCACACCATGATATCTTATTGTCATTTACATCATGGTCTAGTGTGCATGCAGTGGTGAAATTCTTATGTTGCCATCTTCTGACAACAGTGATCGTGTGTTATCATTGTGGTCCAGGTAGAATGTGATTCTGTAGCTCATACTCACTGGTAACCTGTCATTTGATTAATCAAAATCAGTGTTTCTAAGTATCACTGTATTTTTGGTTATTCCAACAATTGATTTATCGAAACTCCAATTAAATTGTCATAAAATTAATCAACTAATCAAAATTAATTTCTGAAATGAAAGACTTGCCTCTCTACGCACAGTATCTATTCTTTTGAGAATTTGCACAGACCACTAGTCTTGAGCTGTCTCCCACCTAAGAAATGTTATAGAACTACAGAAGTGCATGATGGAATCATCATGTGACAGTAGCTTTCCACCAGTGGGAGGATGACACATCCTCCATGTGCTGTAGATTCCCATAAGCACTTGCACTCAAAATTAACTTCATTCTTATTCTCAACACTGTCTTTAATGGAAGTGTTTATTTAAGTTTAAAGATAACCAATTTCATGATACTTGCATTGCCTTTTCACAGTGTTAATTTTCCTTGGTTTCCTTTTAGCTTGTTTTAACTTGAACTTAAAGCTATATTGCCACTAAATAAGTAAGGTTTTTTTCTTGAATTGGAGAATTGCTACAATAACCATAAATTCTCAAATACTACTACTTCCTCCTCCTGAGGTTTTGCTGATGTTGTTAATAGTACCTCTCCTTTGTGTGTGACAACCAGAGTCTCATTGACTGTTGAAGATGATGCTGCTATAGTTCATTGTTTTCTGGTTTCTTTGATGCTTTCCTTACTTCATCTCCCTGTCCTTGCATCTGAAATGCATTCTTCTCTTTCTGAACATAAACATGAGGATGATGACTTTGATCAGCTCTTTTCATCTTCTGGGTTTGCACTAAGGATTACTTTATTTTTTCTCCTTCCCCAGACATACATGTCCATGTCAAGATGTTCCTGTATCAGCTTTGATCCCAATCTCAAATGCCTCATCCTCTATGACTCCAAGTTACTTTGCCATGGCTTATGGCTTGCTTCTTTGCCAATCCTTGGGGGATTGACCTCCTAACTCCAGTATCACTCTTTAGTGCTCAGTTTTTCATCTTCAATTTTTTCTTATCAGTCTCTTTCATTACCTGTTCCCTCTTCATCTCCCATTTGAAGCCTTACACTGTGATCCCTATAGTTTTTATGAGGATCTATTCCTCTTGTTTATCTCGTCAAGATTTCCAAGTCATTCCTGACCCCTTCTCAAAACATGGTCCACCTTGGAGTCTTTTTTTCAATTCTTGACTTATTAAGCCTCAGGCTTCATCCATTTATTTGTGGGACATAGAGCATCTAGTCCTCTCAACTCTTGCCTCTCCTATACTCCCTGAATGAGAGATTCTATCTCTTTTGGATACTCTTGCATCTCTGGAACACCTTGTCCTTCTAGGTCAGGCTTTTCTGAGGATTTTTTAATGGAATTAAAATGACTAACAGAAAATATCTCCCATTCATCTGTCCTCTCTCATGACACTGACATCTTTTCTTCTTGAGGACCTGTCTTGATGGCTGGATCATACCAATACTATGGTCAGCATCTCATTGATGCCCCCTTCAGTCAGGATTATCATCTTTTCACCAATGCATCTCTTACAGTTAGAGCATGTCTCTAGATTACTCCACAGCCTCAAGAGTTTGGTCTCCTATACCTTCCACATCAATGTTCTGAGCTCTTGGCTGTCCCTTGGGTGTGTTCCTATTTCCTACCTCATCTTGTAGATCACTTAGTTATGATCCAATCTGATAATTCTGTGGTTTTGTCAGGATGTTTTTCCAGGGACCTTTCCTTCTGTATGTTGGACTTCCTGTTTTGGGCCCACTTATGTCAGGTTTGTATGACATCTATCATGTTTCAAGAGTCTTGAATTTGGAAGTGGATCTACGTAGTTGACCAGATATAATTTTTCCTATGGAATGGTCACTCCATCCTTAGGTATTTTGTTGAATTTGTTCCCATTTCAACATGCCATTGACTAATACCTTCCATACTTCTCTTAATACCAAACTCCCTCTCTTCTGGTTACTGATACCTTGCCCAGCAGTTCTAGCTATGGATACTTTCAGCCAGAACTGGTCTTATCTCTTTCAGTATGTGTGCCCTTCTCTTCATCTTCTCTGACATGTCTTGACATTGATTCACAGCACTCCTTGTTGGTTACATCTTTTTGGCCAGCTCAGTCTTGGTTTTCTCTTCTTCACTGATTAGCATCCAGGGCTGTCCTTTCTCTACCTCCATTTTGGTCACTCTTGTTCCAACCTCATACGTCTCTCTTTCACCTGAGAGTATCATCCCTTTGCCTTCAATCATGGGATTTCTCTGGTCCCTTGCTTGTCAGTCAGATTTTTCTGAACACTTAGTCCTTCTATTATCCCATTCATGTCACATTTTTACAATGATAGAGGTGTGTTTTTCACTACTGGTCCATCAGCTACTCTCTACTGCTAGCTGTCCTACTTTTGCCCACCTTTCAGCTTGCTTTACTTGGTTGTTTGTCCAAGGATCATTATCAGGTGGCCTTGTCAACTACTTTCACCTTTTTCAACTGTTATTTCTAATTTGTTCAGCTCATTCCTAAACAATTGTCAATCGTGTCAAATTTGTTTGCCAAACTGAACCTTATATGCTCTCATCCAGGCTCTGTTTGAACTCCTTGACAGTTGCTTTTTATACCATCTTTCTCTCGCAGATCTGATCTTTATGCTTCCTGTACTTTGTTTCACAGATCTTATTGATTTTATTTCCTGATCACTTGTTTCTTCTTAAGATATGAGTGGCTTGAGAGGAAGGTTCTACCTTTTCTTCCATATCTCTTCTGTTGATCTCACCCCTCTATGGCCCTGATCACCTTTTATATCCAGTTTGGGTGGTCAGGTGTTACTTGGCTTGCACAGATCCATTTCAGGGTTCCCACAATTATTTATTCTTTCCTTAAGACTCCTCTTCTTCCAGGGATCTTGTTCTCAATGCTTACATGATAGATTTTTTAGTTCATCTGGATCACCTGTTCCTACTTTGATAAATGCTCACAAGCTGTATCACGTCAAATGTGCCACTTGTCTTGCTCTCTGGCCTTTCTCTTTCCAGGGTGGAATGTGTATTATGCCCAATGCCTTCATCTCCCATTATCTCCACCATCTGCCAGTTTTGTTTCCCTCAGGATATTTCCTCCCTCTAGTCTACTCAGTGTCTTTAATAGGTAAATGCTTTTTTTATTTATTTCTTTGTTTATAATGTTCTCCCATTCACTTCTCCCTACCAGATGGCCATGTTGTCTCTTAGTGTATACTTACTTCCTTAAACCTGCATAGAGTAAGCAGTAACAAAATCCATTAAGTCCATCAACCCTGGCTCCTAATGTACCCACTGTTGAGCTGAGGTTTTCTGCAAGACCACTATGGTGGTTTATGTATATAATTAATTATTGATTCCAGACTGTACCTTCCATGGACTATAATTGAAAAAGTGAGCACCAGGGGAGTGTCTACCCTCTTTCCTGATTTGTGCATGCTGGCTTTTCAAATTAGGTTTTGCAGTAACCCACTGTACTTTCTTCAGTAAAATACTTAGTGGTGGTTAGATCTGACCATGTTCAGACAACTTTCTGGTGTCTTTCCAGTGCAAATTCCACCTCCACCCCCCAGTATTGAAGTGAAGCACATGGGATCCTTGCCAATACCAGTTTCTAGCTGCTGGGGTGTTCAGCCTGGAAAGTTCCTCACAGGTTGTACAATCTGTCCTGAAAGAGAGTCTTAGTGAGCAGTACAATGTGGTGGGAAGTAGGGCAGGGGTGTCCATATCAGTGTAATGTCACAACTTCCCAGTGGTTTGGCCAGGTGAATTGGGGAAATTGTTCTTCTCGTGTAACAGGAAGGGACTTAATTCCTGTATGTAAAGTGAGTAAATGATTCAACAGAACCCATAACAAACCATATGGTCTGATCATTGCCCTAACCACACACCATGTCATGTCCAGTTGACCTGTTGTGTGCAAATGCTTAGTTGGTTATGTCTTTTTTTTTCATCCAATTCCTGCTACATATGGGCTCATTTTACCTTCCTCCTTTTGTACTTCCATCCAAATTAAGAGTATACCATGCATGAGATGGATGAAGTCTTCCACAAATATTACCTCTAGTAAACTCCACTTTAGGGTGTCACACTCCATGGGCTTTCCCCTTCAGTTGCTTTCTCTGAAGGAAACTCATCTAGATTTTCACATTTACATCAGCCTCTCTACAACATTAGTGTGGAGTTTTAGCAAAGGGGTAAGTGGATCGCTTCAAAAGTTAACATTTTCCTCACCTGAAGATGTATCTCCAATAAATACTTACCTCTCTGTACACCTTTCCTCCCCACTACCAGTGCACATTATTCATGCCTTGTCTAAGAATGAAGTTACTTTCAAGTGCCAGTGCTTATGGGGATCTTCTGTGCATGGAAGAAGTGTTCCTTCCTATTGGTTACATCATGCACTAGCACAGTTAACATTATAGCATGTCTTTGGTGGGAGATGGCTCAAGGCTAGTGGCATGCACAAAATCAAAGGCAGGAGTGTGAGGAATAGCTACTGTGTGCAGAGAGGTAAGTATATGTTGGAAATACATTTTCAGGTAAGGAAAATATTTAACTTTCCAATTATTACTAATTCTTATTCCAAGTAATCAAAATATTGCCACCAAACTTGCTTGCTCTGTCTCTGTTATGGCAAAGGCTAAGTGCCATTGATATTAATTTAGAACTGCTAATTAGAGGGAAGACAACTGGCTGGCAACACTTGTCTCCAGTGTTTGTATTTTTTATATGTTATTATTATTTTTTTGCATGTATGTACTATGGTTTGAGGAACTCTGTACAAAGTGACTAATTGAATGTTATCTATTTTTGGGCCGTTGATTAGCAAACATCACCTATCATTCAGCTTTAATTACATTTGCAGCAGATGATAACATACAATTGTGGCTGATGTCTTAAAACCTGTTGTCATTGACCAGTGATTGACTAGTTGTGAAACCCTGTAAAACCAGTCAGTAATACATGTGCTGCAGATGACAGACATCACATTATTTTTGACCCTCTGCCTGACTTCACTGACTCTTTTCAACAACCCCATCATTTTCAGTGTCAATTCATACTTGCAAAATCACAGGCCAATAACTGTCACCACATCTCTATAAAGATATAACCACTTTCTGAGTTCTAGAAATCCATCCTTCTTTGAAACTTTTCAACTGCATGTACTGTATGCATCATTTGGTCTAATCATTAAATCATGTAAATTTGATAAAACAGAATAACATTTTTCCTGTTATATTAGTTGTTTGTGCCATTTATATATATGTATGTGTCACTTATTAATCATATTCATATGAAATTATAATCATTTGTTATGGACTGGAAAAGGAATTATTGCACACTGACTTAAGTGTGCTTTACTTAGTTCTTTCTATGTGGAGCATTTTAATTTGTAGTGTGTGTGTGTGTGTGTGTTTATTAACTAGGTACTTAGAGTAGACATTAGAGACAAATGTCATATACCATTTGTCTTGAACCAAGTTATGTTTGTTTTAGATCTTTTACTTAATAGATAGTATTTGTCTTGAAAACTAAATGGTGTTTGTTATGTGTGTTATAGACTTGTTATAAGGTAGAAGATATTTTGTTTGATAGATACTGTTTGTTTTGAACTCGTCAATGTTTTTTATGGATGTTGGAGGCAGTTGCTATGACCTAGAATATGTTTTGTTTAGTGATAGTGTTCTTCTTGAACTAAGAGGTGTTTGTTATGGACATTATAAAGTATAAGAGAGAAGCATGAGACCAGAATTAATTTGATATATAAATGAGAAATTGTTACCATACTATGCATAAGACATAGTTTTATGTTTGAAACACTTGTAATGAACTGATGGGACTTTGTGTAGGTCTGATTTACCATTAATTCACACACACCTAAAAAAATAGTAGCAAATTTCTGAAACTTAATGAACCAAAGGGATTTACAAGATAATTAACAATTTTCTTTTAGTATATGTATTTCCTGCAGATTTAGAATAAATGTAAAGATAAATATATTTATACAGTATTCTTGGTTTTATTGTAAGATTAAAAAAAAAAACTGTCCATTGTATTTTATTTTCATCACTTACATGAGATACTTTAATTGGACGTATGTTTGTAAAAGAACCACAGATCATTCTTTTTAGGTACGTTAGACATTCAGATTGAGCTCCAATCTTTGGTAGCTGAGTTCCTCGGTGTAGAAGACTCTATTGTGTTTGGAATGGGTTTTGCCACTAATTCAACCAATATCCCCACTCTTGTTCAGAAAGGATGTCTTATTCTTAGTGATGAACTTAACCATGCCTCTCTGATATTAGGATGTCGGCTATCTGGGGCTGTTGTCCAAGTTTTCAAGCATAATGGTAGGATATAAACTATTTTCATTTATAGAATGTCTATATTTACTCCTCATGTTTTTGTTAATATAAATCTTAAATATCGTTCCAATTTAATTGAAAAGTAAGATTTTTCTGGATATAAATATGTATTTAATTTTATCTTCATAAGTTATATATATTTAAGATATATAGATTTGAAATGCACTTCATGTATGTTTTTATGTACATGGTAAAAAATGAAGCTGTAGGAAGCAAAATACTCTTTTCGATTAAAAGTCAACTGTTATTATCAGGATGACAAAGTAAAATGCATCCATACATATGTAGTATGTATGAGCTTTTTTATGCTGCATTTTATTACATGTAACCAAGAGTGAGATAAACCAATGGAATTGTAATTAGTTGGAACTTTTATCACTACTAGAAAAGAAAGATGTTAATAATAAATGGTTTTTGATTTTAGAAGGTGTCAAGATATATCTATTTATCTATTTATATATACATATGTATATGTTTTACTCATTTCTATGCCTTGGTTTTGTATGTTTTGTTACAGTGTTTTTTTTTGTATTTGGTTAATGCCTATGTATATTTGCATACATATTTCACCAATACTCCCTTGATTTAGATACAAAGGATTTAGAACAGAAGCTTAGAAAAGCAATAACCTTAGGACAACCAAGAACTCACAGGCCCTGGAATAAAATCATTATTGTTGTAGAAGGAGTATACAGGTAAAATTCACTTCTTATTGAAAACAAAAGTTTTGTACATTATATAGAATTACTGAAGAAAAAAAACTGTAGCTCAGAGTAAAATAACATTTAACTGAAAGTTCATTAGCATGTACGTATGAAAAAAAAAATTGGAATCTTCCTACAGTGTATTAAAACAATGGCTACACTAAACCTTTCCCCTAACAGCAAGGAGCATGACTGATTGATTGTAACAACTTTTGCAAAATGACCGTATTTGAATATTTTAATGGATAAAGTTACTTAAGAACAAGATGAAAATAAAAGATTTACAGTTTTGTAATGTTATAAATAGACTGTAGATTAATAAATTCTAAATGTGAACAAAAATCTACAACTCAAGCCTATACCACCTTTGGTGCAACTTTAAAAAATCTCAACTTACTAGTGTTTTTTTTTATATTGTTTCTGGATCATCCTATGCTCTAACTTTTTTCATTGGTTTCATGTGATTTCTTTGTCATTTGTTGTTTGTTTCATCTCATAGGCTTTTGACTAAAGAAATTTAATTCTCTGCAATTCAAGACTCAAAATAATGAGATATTCAAATTTGAAAATTCCTAAAAACTCATAAAACCTAATACTGTGCATATTATGTTTTAGTTGTCCCCTCAATACTTTACCTTTTTTCCATTTCCTTCAGTTCATTTTAATCAGTGGGAAAAAAACCTTGGCAAACCTTTTACTAATCTTGACAAGTACATTGAGCTTAAGTGATACATAGACTCATTTTCTCATCTATGAGTATATTTTGTTTATAATCGACTATCCTGTGTACTTTTGCTCTCTAGGTGGTTGACAAAAGAAATTATTTTTTTTAATATTTATTTTTTGCATTTATTAGGTTCATAGTGGTAAAGTTATAGGGCTATTCTTTAGGGATTGTTTATTTAGTAGAATACTAACTTCAAAATTAGTGAAATCTTATGAAAGTAATTCATTTGTAGCCTTTTGTAGAGAATGTTTAGTTTCTTGATACATCAAGTAGATTAAGGGATACATACTTTGTTATTATAAAGTTTATGATAAAGGACTGTGTACTGGAGTGAAAATTTAATAGATGACAATTATCTTAGTAAATTCTGTTGTGAGAGTTTTATGCTGAAGTGTGTTATAGATTTTAGTATTGTTTTTTAATGAAATCTTTGGAGAATTGTTTTGTCTTGTCATAATTTCTTCACATCTAAAAAATATTTAACCCTAAAATAAGTAGTCAATCATTCAGAAATTCTAAAGTTTGTCGCTGTAGTTCGTCAGTTCCATGAAGGTATGATGGCAAGAGTGCTCGGTGACGGAGAAGAATCCATAGAGTTTCCTGTGTCCGGTGGCGTCAAGCAGGGTTGCGTGTTGGTACCAACACTGTATAGTATGTATTTATCAGCATTGCTGTCAGACGCCTTCAGGGATGGTCCAAGCGGAATACATCTGCGATATCGAATGGATGGAAAGCTGTTCAATTTTCGCCGTTTGCAAGCATGCACAAAAGTTTGTTTGATTAGTATCAGAGACCTGTTGTTTGCTGATGATTGTGTGCTGAGTGCGACTTCGGCGGAAACGATGCAACAGGAGCTCGACTGCTTCGCAGGGGGATGTGGCGATTTCGGTCTTACAATTAACAGCTCCAAGACGAAGGTTGTGTTTCAGCCCGCTCCTTGTCGATCTCTAGTTGATCCAGAATTACGGTGTGAACCTGGAGACGGTTGAGAGTTTTCGCTATCTTGGAAGCACGCTCTCGAAGGACGCTAACATTGACATAGAGGTTGACCACCGGGTCGCACGTGCGAGCTCTGCTTTTGGAAGACTCCGTCGCAGTGTGTGGGAGCGGAGAGGGCTCAGACTAACCACCAAGCTGAAGGTCTATCGGGCAGTGGTATTGAGCATCCTACTATATGCCAGTGAAACATGGACTGTGTATCAGAGGCACGCCAGAAAGCTTAATCACTTCCATCTGTGCTATCTCCGCCGGCTCCTCCATGTTAAATGGCAAGACAGAGTTCCCGACACAGACGTTCTCAAACGTGCTGGTGTCCCTAGTGTATACACGCTTCTCCAGAAAGCACAAGTCAGATGGGCCGGTCACCTCGTGAGAATGCCAGCTGATAGAATACCGAAGCAAGTTCTCTATGGTGAACTTAGTGAAGGTAAATGGTCGGTTGGAGGACAGAAGAAACGTTTTAAAGACCATGTATAGCTCTATCTTGTTCTCAGTAGATATTTGTTAGTTTTTTGCTTACAGATTCGCCTGATTCAGATTGAGCAGCCAAAAGAATTAGTTTAAGACACTCATGCTTTAATTAGACATCCAGTTAAATAGTTTATTTGCTTGTTCATCTTATTATTTTGAGTTCTTAAGTGCATATTACAAATAAATAAAATTTATTGTAGTTACTACCAATGTTGTTAGAAAGAACTATGGTTGAACTTTGTTGGAGGACCAACTGACAGCAGAATAGAAACAGAGGCCAAATGAAAATACTAAATTAATTTTTTTTATGTTTATTTTCCATTTATTGTTATAAAGGTAACTAAAATGTACAAATTTGAAAATTTTTAGGCTAGATAAAGTTAAATTAAGTTAGATAGCAAAAAAAGATAAAAAGATATCTCTACATGGTATGCTTGTGAGTAGCCTGTGCACTACATCATGCAGTACTATAACTTCAGCTGTTTGCTGCGTGATTTATCGTTTGATTATTAGGTAGACATGCTTGACTAAGGAATAAAACAAAAGTAAATAAAAATACATGTAAATTTTTATGAGCCTTAAGCTATTTAAAATCAATAATTATAATTTTGTTATAATCTGCAGTCATCCTAAAAGTGAAAAAATGGTAATTTAGATTTATTTCAAATTTTTTTGTAGTGACTGACTTCACCTATATAGTGTTAGGTGGATAAAATATAGTTTTACTGAAACAACTTTTTATATTCATTTAAGAGGTTCTAGTGGTTATTCAAATGAAATTTGAAAACTGTAAGATAAGAAGTGTTTTCAATCTTAACATGAAAATCACTTTACACTTAAACTAGTCAGTCTTAGGCACTCTTGACTCCATATTTTCAGAGAAATTTTTAGTAAAAAAACTAACTTAAAAATCTGTTTTATTTGTGTGTGTGTAAAATACTTGTAATATCCACTATAAGCTTGCCAAATTTCATGGATATACACTTATTACATTAAAAGTTATAATATGTATACTTTCATAGCTACCTGGTTGTTGCAAGGTCAGTCAAAATGACTGAGCCTGTTTAGAGAGAGTTCATTAAAGAGGTCCTTGATTAATCGATTAGCAAGTATCACTAATAGCCCACTTCTTTTTGTAAATACATATTGAGTGATTTTATGTTTTTACCTCTTAAAGCACATGGTGTAAAGAACTGACAAAAAATTAACTGAAATTGGTCATTTTCTATTTTAGATACATAGTAAGCTCATCAGAATTAATTACAACATAAGCAGGATTTCTGTTTAAAAGCATTTCTGTGACTCATTAGGGACCCTGTAACCAATGAAGTCATGGTTGGATAAATTGTTTTGAGAGTTTCAAATGTTTAAATATTTTTCAAAAGGAATTTTTGACACTACCAGAAAATAAATAAATGTGTAGCTTCAACTGTAAAATCATCTAATATTTTTTCTATATTGGCCCTTATCAGTTTTAAGATTGAGCAGTGCAAAGCTGTGCTCTTGAGATTCGTAAGAGAGGAACATTAGTGTGGAAAAAAAAAGATTGAGGTGTAGTTATTGATAAACCTTCTGCTGAGTGTTGTTATTGAGAAGAACATTATTGTAACTTTGTACAATACTCTGCTGAGGCTCAGATTGAGAACTGTGAGCAGTTTGGTCCCATTCATATAGGAATGATATCAACATGTTAGAAAGATACTGGAACTATACTGTAAGTCTTTTAACTGTTTACATACAGGAATCCTTTTCTACAAGGTTTTACTGAGTTACATTCAAAATTTAATTAAACTACTTTATTATCATGGATTATGAATGAACTTGACTTAAAAACATAGCTAATATTCCAAATGTTAATATTATATAAGTTTCAGATTCTTCATTTTATAAGGCATTATATTTAAAAAATCCTCAATTTCCCTAAATATGAGAATTGTGACATTTGCTTTCTAGGTCTTTCTTTTTCTCTAATTTATTTAATACCCCTCTGAGAAGTATCGAATTTAATATAAATTACTCATTATAATATTATTACAAGGACAAAGTATAATTTTTATAGCCTTCAATCTTATTTGTTTACAGAGCCATAAACTAGAAAACCAGACCCCCCTGTGGCATCTTCTCTTTCACAAATTGCCAATAGTTCTCTCTGATATTTAATAGTTTATTATTTATAACCAATAGAAAACCAAAGTTTTAATCTATCAAATGATGTTTTATATTATGCTGTTTTCTTTGCAGAGAATTATCCATTTATTTTCCTGTTCAAACTTTGTTCCCACGAGAAACACATTGACGAGTTTAGCTGAATTTTTAATGGCTCTTGTCCCATAGTTAGAAAGCCAGAAAAATTATGATAGTTTTAGGACATTGTCTGCTTTTTACATGTTGTTATACTGTGTTCTTAGTTGCATTATATAATTAAATAAAAACTTTAGTGCAGTAGTACCATTAATATAAAAAAGTTGGGTTAAGTTAAGTTTCATCAACAGTTGACAGCAAAAAAAAGAGATCCAGTTAAGTACAATATTTCTTGTTTTTCATGTGAATTTTTTATTTATTATTATACAAATAACAAAAATGTAAAAATTAGCAACTTTTTAACTTAAGTTAGTTTAGGTAAAATAAAGAAGAAAAAACAATAATAAAAAATGTTCACACTTAAGAGCAGCTTGCGAGTAGCCTGTGCCTTAGGTAATTTGATAGGATAATGAAATCTACACATTCACCAAGTGATTTACAACTTGTGTGGTGAGATTACTAGTTAGACTTGGTTCAAAGGGCAATAAAACAATAATATTTATGTAGAAACAGATGTATACTGTTATGAGTTTTAAACTATTTAGAATAAACAAATGTAGTTTCATGTTAAAATCTGAAGTCATTCTGGAAAGAAAAGGGATAAATTTTTTGTATTTTTTATGGTGGTTACGAGGTTGGTCAATTTGGCTTTTTGGCCCCTCCTTTTTTTTTAATATCTAATATTTTTACATGCTGCTAGTGAGAGAACCTGTTGTTAAAATATTTGAATCCCACCACTGTCTGTCTGTATATGTCAATTAACTCATTTCAATGTTTGAAGGAGAATGGAAGCTTTACAAGATAAACATTCAGCAGGAGGCACTTCTTCTCAGAGCGACATAACAAGTCGACAGAGTCTCCGTAGACTTTCTTCAAAAGATGTAGCAATAGCTGAAAGACTTAAGAAGCTTAAGGAAGAAAAGACTAAAGGTCAGTATAAGTTTCATAATAAGTTTTTTTTTGTATGTTGTCTGTAGCAGTAGTTCTTCAGAAACAATAACTTTAAGTTTCTGTGACTACAAGTTCCAGAATCAAAAACTAAGTATTATTACGTATCTGCTTGTTTGATAATTTCCAGTAGAAATTCTTTCCGAGGAACTTCAGTGATACAAGTCCTTTCTTGATTAAACCAGTTTATTCTTTCTCGATTCAAACTTTGTAATACACAGAATTTCCACAGTCACTTTAAACTTGTTTTGTTGTTCATCCTTCGAAGTTCGAAGAAGACCACGACATCATTTGGTCTATCTGTGGATATGGAGATGGCTCAGGAGTCCTATCCGAGCCAGGAAGCCTCGACTACATTCACGGCATATATGGCTTGGTGTCCCGTTCTGAGCCGACCGCACCCGATCCTTCCGAGCTGCACGCTTCCCCTCGGCAACCAATCGACGTTTACATTCTGCTGTCACCGAACCCTGCCAGACCTTCGTTCTCCAAAAAAATCTATCCTGGGCGAGCGACTCCCAGTTCACATGGTTGATGTCGAACTCTTGCAGGGATAGTTTTAAACATTTTAATTTACCAAGTCTAACAAGTACCTACTGAGAACAAGGTAGAACTATACATCATTTGGCAAATTAAAACTAACAAATATCTACTGAGAACAAGGTAGAACTATACATCATTTGGTAAATTAAAACTAACAAATATCTACTGATAATAAGGTAGAACAATACATGATTTGGTAAATTAAAACTAACAAGTACCTACTGAGAACAAGATAGACTATACATCATTTGGTAAATTGAAACTAACAAATATCTACTGATAACAAGGTAGAATTATACATCATTTGGTAAATTAAAACTAACAAGTACCTACTGAGAACAAGATAGACTATACATCATTTGGTAAATTGAAACTA